TTGAATAGAAGTGTTTGTAGAAAGCCTATATATTTCATGCATATTGGAGCGGAGTCTTGAGGTGGGTAGAATATAGTTGTGCACTGTTCTGGTGTTGACTTCTTGATGTGTAGTGCCTCGCAAACGTCAAGCCGCCTGCTATCGCTGTATCTATCGATGATTTCTGTGTTGTTTACTAGGATTTCTCTGGCGATGGTTTGGTTGTGGGAAGAGATTATATGTTCCTTAATGGAGCCCTGTTGCTTATGCATCGTTAAACGCCTAGAAAGAGATGTTGTTGTCTTGCCTATATACTGGGTTTTTTGGAGCTTACAGTCCCCAAGAGGGCATTTGAAGGCATAGACGACGTTAGTCTCTTTTAAAGAGTTCTGTTTTGTGTCTGGAGAGTTTCTCATGAGTAGGCTGGCCGTTTTTCTGGTTTTATAGTAAATCGTATCCTCTGATTTTTGTCTGTAGGGATAACGTTTCTATAACAATATCTTTCAGGACCCTTTCCTCCGTTTTATGAGCTGTGGAAAAGAAGTTCCTGTAAAATAGTCTAATATATAGGTGTTGTGTTAGTTGTCTCTTCAGAGGTTGCATGGCTTTTCACTTTCCTTCTTATATATATATATATATATATATATATATATATATATATATATATATATATATATATATATATATATATGTGTGTATGTGAGTTTGTGTATGTACTCACCTAGTTGTGTTTGCGGGGGTTGAGCTCTGGCTCTTTGGTCACGCCTCTCAACTGTCAATCAACTGGTGTACAGATTCCTGAGCCTATTGGGCTCTATCATATCTACATTTGATTAAGTACTTCAGTAAATTTCTGTTTCAATTCTTCCTCTGTGGTCTGACACTGTCAGACCACGGAGGAATCACTAAGAACTCTAAATGACCCGACCAGGATTCGAACCCATGACGTCCAGGATTACTCCCAAACGTACGTAGTACCATGACCACCCACGAATAGAACCAAAGGAATTAAAGTTGTATAAACTACTATACAACGAATTAATGCCGCAGAATGACCTATGTTGGTAAACCAACCTAGTTTACACAAATAGGATACATATAGGAATGTATTCACCAATACATAATAATACAGAAATGTTCACAATACATTATAATACAGGAATATTCACCAATACATTATAATACAGGAATATTCACCAATACATTATAATACAAGAATGTTAACCAATACATTATAACACAATAATATTTACCAATACAAATTGGAATAAGAGACTTACCCTCATACTTTCCTTAACATTATACTTGAACAAGATATTTTCTTTAGTCTTAAACCAGAAAAAAACTGGAACTGTCAGAACAAAAAAAAAAATCAGTGATGTAGGCCTACCTCAGCATCGAGCATCCAACCACTGGGATTGAACGACAGGTTTTAGGGGATTTTTCTGGCTACTTGTTAATCCCCGGTGGTAGCCAATCGACCGATAACGGAGCCCACGCCCCGCTGAACGACTTGGCCGGCCATGTTTCTAATTAGTTTTAGGACGAGAGAGCCTCCGGTTCAAGCAATAAGTCGTAAAACTGCTAGCAAATTCAATAACACTCTAGAATGTAACTATTAAAACTCTTATGTTTGTACCCCATTCACACTTGCAACAAAATATCACATAATATCATTGATATAAAATACAGTAGCATATGCAGTAAATATGTAGGTATATAGTGAAGGATGATAAGTGCTCAAAGGTCTTGCAGTGAAAATGAAAGTGATATCCAGTGCCGAAATATTTTGCTGTGAAAGTTCAGAAATAACAGTTAACGCCCCAAAACTCTCCAGCTGCCCTGCTCTCGTAGCCAGTTAAGAAGTAATATCAATGCCCTAAAATTCTTGCAATGAAAGTTGAGAAGTATTTTATCCAATGACTAAAACCTTTCCTATTAAAAGTTGAAAAATAGGCCTACTATCTATTGCCAAACGCTTAAGATTTTAACAAGGTCTAAAACCCTGGATCTATAGGTACATTCCACAGGCAATATCAACCGAAAATATTTACACCATTACTCTTACCTTTCGGGCAATTCGCACCAACTCATTTAATAAAGTTTTTTCTGATCTTAATATTGAAAAAAAACATGAAACTTTTCAGTACACTATTTTTCATGTGAATATTTTATCTGCCGCATTTGTGAGGTAGGCCTATAGTAAATCTAAACCCAGTATTCGACTGAGCCTTTTATATTGATTATTTAAAGTAGCTTATGTTTCATCAGTAAATTTAAAATTTGTTATAACTATAAAAAAAATCCTACAATTCATGATAGAGTTAATGTTACATTCCACGGAGAGGCGATATATGATGGAAGTATATTACAGAATAAAACTGAAAAAATTTAAAATATAAAATTTAACAAACCCAAAACCATGGTTCAATAATTTGAAATTAAATCAGAACCATTCCTGATCAGATTTTTTTTAATTAAAATGTTTCAATTTTTTTAATTAGAAAGGATATATTCATGAACTGATTTAACAATAGTCTAGTTGACAGAAATGAGTGAAAAGTCATTAATTAAAACGCATATTTTGTTAAGTTTTAAGAATAGACTGGACCAGTACACAAGTAAAAAAACTGAATGTAAACAGGACCTGCCACACAAGTGACAGCAAGCTTACTCCAGGGACCCGGTCTTTCTATATCTGTCTCAGAAACAGCTTGATAACACGAGATTGCCCATTTGTTAGAAGAGGGGCAGAAGAAGATTGGGATTCGAATGAACCACCATTTAGTGGTGGTTCATTCTAATCCCAATCGAAGTGCCTGTACTTCGAATCCCAATCGAAGTGCCTGTACATCATGAAGAGCTTTGCACAGCCTCTCCTCATAAATAATGACCAAATGCTTGTTAATCCAGCTGTCACATCCTCTCATCTTCCCTTCCAATGTTTATGAACAAAGAACTTTACACATGACTCGACTGGTTACGTGTTCAATCTTTTATCGAACAGTATTTTTCTGTCTGTGTGTGTTCAAATCCAACCCATCCTCATCCACAAACGCAAAAGGCTCGTTAATCCGAGACCGTCATCATGAATGCTCATTAATCCAGCCGCCAAACCCCGTTTATAAATGTAAAACGGTTTGCATACGAATCACAGCTGATGACGTTCGAAGTGCTTCGCTGACGACCTCTGTTCGAATCGCAACGCTGTAAATGCTTTACCCACGTATCTAAAATAATAGTCGGTAACAGAAACTAAACACCTAACCTAACCTACGCCTAACTATTCAAAGCATGTCAATACATAAGAATATTAACTTGTGTATGAAAACAAACCTATTTTTAATACACTGTATGCTAAAATCAGCCCGTCCTCATAAACAAATACCAAAGTCCATTCCATGCACCCGCCAAACCCCCTGTTTATGAATGAAAAACGGTTTACACACTATTCAGAACTGATGACGTTTGAAAACTTCTCGAACAATTGCTTCGCTGACAACTTTTGTTCGAACCACAACGCTGTAAATGCTTCCCCCACGCATTTCAAATAATCCCTAACAGAACCTAAACACCTAACTTAGCCAAAGCATAAATGTGCACAGTATGCTAATATATAACAATATTAATTTATATTTGAGAAAATTCTTATTTTAAATAAACAGATGTTAAAAATAATGAATGAGTCTTTGGGGGTCGACCACTGGATGGAATGGACTTGGTCTGAGGACGGATTGGCTAAAATTGATAAATACGTCTTGGGGAATAACCGCCGCTGCAACAAGCCTGGCCTGAGGACAGGTTGAAATAATTGCCTACAGAACAAATCACCTAACTTAACCTAGAATGGGTATTCAAGCCCAACATTTAATGTGACTCCAATTTAAACAATAATACAAAATTATTCGTAACAAATGGAGGTGAAAAAAGTTACTAACATCTACGAATCCATGAAACGAAATTTACATAACTGAAAATTAAGTAAAAATCATTAGTCCAAAAAAACGGGAATACATGATAATACACACTGGGTCTGGAGCACTAATAAACACTTCAACTGGTTTGATTTGGCAGACATTAATACTAATAATAATTTATTCACAAAAAGGTACAATGGGTTGGTCAGATTACAGAAGATAGGTATTTGCATATTCTTGCAAAGCCATTAACACGCATAGCGTTTCAGGCAGAAATTAAATAAACAAGATATTTATTGCATAAATACAAAATACAATTTTCTTTCATGTCATTCGACATTAATAGTAGCAAGGAAACATATATAAAGTAAACTACATGTATCGAGTACATACATTCTTGAAATAACTGAATTGTGCTTAAAAAAAGAGACACTACAATCATACGTTGAGTTGAAAAAATATTGACAAATTCTGATACTATTCTTAATTATTCCTTCACTTTGCATCAACAACATAATGTATGTTTAGGGACTGGTAAATATTACTCTCCTTGTTTGATAATTAGTTTACTCGGGTCAGTTTACTAACTTTCAGCTGCGTCTGCATATTAAGTAACGGGAAAAAAAATAAAAAAAACACTGGTTTTCTTCCAATTGAAGATGCTGTGCATGTGCTATGTTCACTCATGGGATGAGTAACGCTGCCCAGTACTGTCATTATGGTGGTATGTTTGGTCACTGGATGAGTAACGTTTGCCCAATAGTGTCACTATGGGACTATGTTCACTTATGGGATGAGTAACGCTGCCCAGTACTGTCACTATGAGGGTATGTTTGCTCACTGGATGAGTAACGTTGCCCAGTACTGTCACTATGAGGGTATGTTTGATCACTCTATGAGTAACCCCGCCCAGTACTGTCACTTCGAGGGTATGTTTACCATGTTCATTTATAAGATGAGTAACGTTGCCCAATATGCTCACCCTTAATGCCAAAAATTTATAAAACTAAATAGCATTCATAACCTAAGCACTCCTTAGAGTTTACACAATCACAGGAGAGTAAGTAACATTAAGACGCTAGCCAAGAGGTCAGGTCTACTTACCTAGTATTCTCCTGACTTCGGCCTGAGTCAAATAGAGGTTGAAGTCAGCATCGCCAGGTCCAACCATCACTGTCACCACAGCTGACATCAACAACACTCCGCCAACACTCGCCATCATTGAGGTCAAAGTTGATGCATTATTTAGTCCGTTTTTTCGAGATTGATTGGATTAAAAAATAAAAAACAGTTCTTGTCAGCGTCTGTAGAATGTACACATTACTCCTGTGTGTTATTGAAACTTTCTACTTGTCAATGCAATGTCTTTCAACCTCAAAGTTTTTTGCCCGATAACTTTACAGCAAAAGTTTATCAATAAGTTTACTTAATGTAAAACGACTGATATACAACCATAAAAAAAATATTGACTCTTAGTTCGAAATTAATTCCGTAAAAGACATTTCGATCCACGAGACTTAACACAAGTATTTGGTCGCACACTCGCCACACCACACTTGGGCAGGTCCCGGGTAATCCAGCAACACAGCTCACCCGTCCTCACTCTCCGGCGCCACGGCCAGGACTGAGCCACTACACTGAGAGAGAGCCTCGCTGTTAGTCAGTCTGCGCTCGGTCGGAGAGTTCGACTCCTACTGTACGACACTTTAGTCTCACGGGGCGGTTTGTCATACACTGTGCCAGTGTATGCTACTGCAGCTGGTCCTCGTCAATAAAGGCCAACTGCTCGTTAATCCAGCCACCAAACCCCTGTTTATGAATGAAAAGCAGTTTACACAAGACTCACAACTAATGCATGTTCGAGCAGTGCTTCGCTGACGTTCTTTGCTCGAATTGCAAATTTGTAAATGTTTTACCAACGTACTAGACACAAATAATCGCCACCAGAACATAAACACCTAACCTAACCTGCGGCTAACTATACAATGAATTATATTGTATAATAATATTAATTTATATATGAGAACAAACCTATTTTTATTACACAGTATGTTAAATTTTATGAAACTGACGAAAATAAAATTTATGCTCTAATACTGCTCGAAGTGCACAGGTGAATGAAATGTTATTTATTACCCACGATTATTTTGAATATATATATATATATATATATATATATATATATATATATATATATATATATATATATATATATATATATATATATATATATATATGTCGTACCTAGTAGCCAGAACACACTTCTCAGCCTACTATGCAATGCCCGATTTGCCTAATAAGCCAAGTTTTCATGAATTAATGTTTTTTCGACTACCTAACCTACCTAACCTAACCTAACGTAACTTTTTCGGCTACCTAACCTAACCTAACCTGATTATATATATATATATATATATATATATATATATATATATATATATATATATATATATATATATATATATATATATGTCGTACCTAGTAGCCAGAACGCACTTCTCAGCCTACTATACAAGGCCCGATTTGCCTAATAAGCCAAGTTTTCATGAATTAATTGTTTTTCCACTACCTAACCTACCTAACCTAACCTAACCTAACTTTTTCGGCTACCTAACCTAACCTAACCTGTAAAGATAAGCTAGGGTAGGTTAGGTTGGGTTGGGTAGGTTCGGTCATATCTCTACGTTAATTTTAACTCCAATAAAAAAAAATGACCTTATACGTAATGAAATGGGTAGCTTTATCACTTCATAAGAAAAAAATTATAGATAATATATTAATTCAGGAAAACTTGGCTTATTAGGCAAATCGGGCCTTGCATAGTAGGCAGAGAAGCGCGTTCTGGCTACTAGGTTCGACATATATATATATATATATATATATATATATATATATATATATATATATATATATATATATATATATATATATATATAATCAGATGTAAACAAAAAATAATTCAGCAACGCCAACTATGAATATCAAAGTTGACAAATATAATTCAGTGACATTCATATTGAACTTTTTTCGTGTGTGTGACGTAAATTTCGTTTTTACTTCACTAAGTTATCTTCTTTTAATCTGAAAGAGAACAAACTAACAGTTATCAAGTTTGATGTGTCCTCATACCTATTAGAATGGTAGGGGGGGGCGAAACTCATACCTAATATATGATATGGTATTTTTCATATAAAATTTCCTGATTCAAAAATTGTATCATTGTCAAGATTGATTGTCAAGTCCTTATTCTCGAGTGATGAGTCGACGGGCGCGCGGATTGCACTCTGTGCTGGCCGTGAGTTACTTGCACTCTTTGCTGCTTTCTCCCCGCTGTGTTTTATTTCTCCCCTTACCTGATACTCCTCCTTCCCCTCATAATTCGACCCCCCCCCCCTCCCTCCGGCGTCGAAAGAATCTCGGGGAGACTGACCTATTCCATCGCTCACAGTATTTTTTTCTTTCAAAATCGCTACATTGTTCTTCCTTCAAGATTATTCAGTTGATTTCCTTTCTTTCCTTGCCTCAGACAGCGTATCAATCTGTCCAGCCAAGTCAAATATTAACAAGATGTGGCCTTGGGGGGTCTTCTAACTACTAACAAGGTGGTTAAAGTTTGGTAAAGTATTGACCACAAGGTGGTCAATAACTTCGAAAGTGTGGTGCATTAAGTTAAAGCACGGGTGGTCAGAACACCTGATTGTGTTTATGGGGCAAGTTGCTGTGGACCATTTATCATAGGAGTTGTTTAGCGAGAGTTGGAGGTAGTTCGCGCCAAGAGCTTACCAACAGCGAGGTCAGAACAGTCACTGAACACAAACGAGGGTTACACTAGATTCTAATCCTATCGACTGTAAGATTAACTTCATGAATTTCAAATATATTTTAATCCCAAGTTCAAGTTCAAGTATGTTTATTGAGACAAGAAAAAATACATCTCAAAGGGATAGAGTAGCTTAGGCTATTTCTACCCCCCCCCCCCAAATTTAATCGCAAACAGAGTTATGGGCTATAGTAAACTCATTGTATACACACACACTGTAGTATCCATTTGGACTGGGGCCAAGATTCATGAAGCATTTTCGCAGTTACTTTCGAAACTTGTACATCTTTTCTCAACCCCTGGCGTTTTGTTTACATTTATTAAACAGTTATAAGTTCCGAAGCACTACGAGGTTTAGAACGATAACAACAATGGTTTTTTGAAGTTAGCAAGCTCGTTGACTGTTTAATATATGTAAACAAAGCTGCCACTATTGAGAGGAAGGTGCAGCGTCAACCTTCCATCTTCCAAGGTAAAGTATACAATTAGAGTAACAATGAATTATTGTTACTGTGAATTATGAAAGTGGAGCATCGAGGTGATGCAGACATGCTCACGACCGTGTGACTATCATCCTAGTTACTTATTTACGTTTTGTAGACAGTTTTCGAGTGTTAATTTGGTAATTAATCTTGAAAATGTTTTGTTCAGTTTCCTTTTCTATTATAAATATTCAGTCAAGTTGATCCCTGACAGTTTTTGGCATCACTCATGTTTTTGTGTGGATTTCAGCAGTGAAAAAACGGTAGTCATGCTTATATTTAGACAATGAAATAATCAATGGGTTGTTGCAAGGATCAGGTTGGGTTACTGTTACCTGTGGCAGGTGGCAACAGGTGACGGATCTCCCAATCCTGAGCACTCCAGGTGCAAACTCTGTGAGCAGGAACTGCGGCATGATCTCCCACACTACATCACCGAATGCCCAGTTATCAGACCATTCAGACCCGTTGGCATGAGGTACCTGGAGCTTTGCAATTACTTCATTCACTCTCGTGTTCTTGAAGATATCCTCATATTGCACCCAAAATTTGCCATTGCAGGCTAATGAACATATGGCCCTGTTTGACTAACCATCCTGCGAGATGGGGACTTTTAGTATCACTGCTGCCATATTCACTCTTGTGTTAACGATATCCTCATAATGCACCCGGAGTTTGCCAATTCAATTTCTGCTTTATTATGCACCCCATACCCATCCCGTGAGCGGTGGTGTAAAGGGTTACAGAGGCACATAATCGGTTCAGGAACTGAACCCTCTAGTTCGTTTAGCTTGGCAAATAACAATTTTTGACGCTTACTTTACACAATTACATGCACAACTAATTTTGCATGTAATTTAAGTACGTGTATATGTAATTAGTGTATGTATAACAATTGTATAACTAGCTTCACACGATTTCAGTTCCTGAACCGATTATATGCCTCTGTACCTCTTTCCAACACCCCCTAAGGGATGGGGTATCGGGTGCATAATGAAGAAAAATGAATCTTTGCTTTCAATGTTTCCCTTTTTTACTCTTTCTTATTCCTTGCTCGGAACTGAATGATTCCTGTCACTTGTTCTTCAGTACTTTAGGGTTAGGCTGCCACCATAACACACCAGAATATTAATCACTCGAGATCAAAAGCTGGTAATCAGATATGCAAATTCAACAATAATTAGATTCCTTGTACCTGAATATTCATATGAAACTGAATGACAGAATAAAATCAATTTTTGTTATTTTTATTTGTACATAAATTTGATTTCCTCGAAGCTTTTTATTTATATATGACAGCGAACACGTTACGCTATAAAACTTAATATCAATCTATTTTTTTCCAATAGTTAAATAAACAAGCGAATTCAATGTGAAGCTTATAATTTATTTATTTGCTTTGTCCGTTCAAATAGTGAAACAATTTTTGGTGATATATTCATTAAAATGCATTCCTCCATATAGACACGTGCATACAATATGTAAAAATACAAATACACTGTATAAATGCATCATCCATTGTACCATGAGTGGTTAATACATGTATACAAAAGGAATACACACACGACTGAGAGCCCAAGAGCTGCACTTTCACTAAAACTATAATAATAGGTTGGAAATAAACTGATATTACAACAATAAACTTGTCAATATAGCAAACTCATCATTACTTAATTTATTTTAGAATTTAGCACAATTGGTTTCGAAATGATAAATAAGACAAGTTGCAAAGATAGATTTGAGCCAAGTTACTATTTTTTTTTGTCGAACTCTTACTACAAGAACACATTGACATTCGATCCGAAAAAATATATTTTCTGTATTTATATCTATTGTCATAAGTGAATATATTATATAGTAATATCGACGACTAGTTACAGTAGGGCTGAATTCGTCTCGCCTTCCAACCTTAAGAAGAAAATTACAGCAATTACTATAATTTATATATTAATTATACGAATTTCTTAATTAAGAATTAAAACATTATCCCTTTTTATAAGAAACTAAATCGTTCCTTTGTTCCACGATGTTTACTACAGAAAACTAGAACATATTTGTTAAATAAAAAGACAGTAAAACACTGAATTATCCTTAAACATTTTTATCCTTAAAGCCAAATTAATGTCTAACCCAAGTTAAAAGAACACGACCCCACAACCCACTTGGCTGGCAAAAGAAGTGCCCCAACGTTAAAGAATTTATTAAATTCTTAAGCAATATAAAATAATTGCACAATAATAATTAAGGTTGGAAGAACTTTCATTGTCAAGTACCCGAAGGCTACAGTACTAATGAGAGTTTGAACAACTCGCAAAGTAGATACTTCATTAGGCTCCT